CCAAAACTACAACATAGGAAACTAGTGAATAACAGTGGCAGATGTTGGCGCTCTGCGGCAGCACGCTCAAATGACTGGTAGAAAGATGTAAATATTTTCTGCTTTTACTGTACACAGTTTGCTTAAGGACTCAAGGGATGAAAGGGGGTAGGACTAGATAAGTGTATACTTCTTCCTACTCCCTTTCAAGCATGTACTATTGGAATGTTGTGATGTCTTATGCTTATTTGTTGAAATGTCTAATCAATTTTGTTTTTCACAATATCAATTTTCTTAGTTTTATATGCTTGGAAGAAACTTAAAAAAATGAAGCGTCTAAAACGTGAACAAAACAGTTTTTCAGTGCACAATAACCTGTGGTTGGCAATTCTGGTAAACACTCAAAAGAAATTATCTTTCCGGGTTTATTCACACTTGTGCAAGCAGCCAAACATCAACGCCCAGAGTGGTCTCCAGCTTTGAGCCTATTCTTCCCTATCTCTCTTTATGCCTTTGCTTCACTGTCCTTGAGAGACGCATTCCAAACCCCCAGCTCATGACTTCTCACGCAGCCTGTTGCTAGGCTGTGTACAGTGTAAATATAAGCATTTGTTGGTATATTCAAGGGGCACGAGATACATTATATGGACCGTAGTGAGCTGGACTGGAGTGTGGATCAGGAAGCAAACATGTAGTGTCCATTGAAGTCAAAGTGTTTAGAACTGTGTCCAGCGCTGTACTTTTCATCTGAGGGTGTTTATTTCATTTGAGTTTTTTAATTGACCCCAGGGCCTCTCCCTGACCTTCACCATGTAGTTTGTGCCTACACCTCTGTTACTTTTGCTGCCAAAAAAACAATGCCATGTCACAATTTTGGAGGCATTGTTGTGAAACTAATACGTTATTTCACTATGAAACTGGGCTGTTATTGCACACCTCCCACTGCTTCCTCTGTGCAGCTGTCTCACAATACCCAAGTACCTTCCAGCAGTTTCATAAAGTCTGTGAAACTGATGCATAAGGAATACCAATTGTTTTTGGAAGCATTAATATGTTACTCTCCAGGCTAAAATGAAAACACCAGCAAACTGTACAAAAATAAATTAATGTGGACCTAGAGCAAGTTCACCTTTGTACATTAAGGCTCCTACAATTGCACAAATTAGTGAAATCATTTATGCAATTATACTTAACCACAGCAGCATGATTGTCATGTACTTTATTACTACAACACTAGAGCAATCCCTGCTAGAGGAGAAAATGGCCCAAATGGAGCCATGACATGCTCGAATTGAACAGTGCTTCATGTAATTATTGGAGATTTTCTCTTGAAATTGACCCCCTTGAAGACCTAATTCAGTGCATTTCCGCCCAAATGAAGCAGCTATCTGGCCAGTAACATACGCCTTTAGCTTCAGGATCAGCATTAAGGGTTAGAGGAACTGGACTTGATTAGGTTTCTGAACAAAACAAGTTTGGAGAAAGATGAGAAATGCAGTGACTGTTAGTGAAGTTCATGACAATGTTTTTAGAGACACAAAAACACAACACCTAAACTTCCACAAGGTCAGTAAATCCAAGGGACTGTGAGGTGGATTACAGCCACAGTATGTTTGGGCTCAGTTAGACATGGTTTTTCCATGCATATGGTTCCAAAGCACATTTACTGCTTAATGTAGCCACAGAAAAGTTAATGGCATCTGATAAGGCTGTTTCATAAAAGCAGAAAATGGCACCGACTCTCCCCCTGCTGCAGCTCTATGATTAGGTTTGTTTGACGCCCACACTGACCTTCACTTCTTTCATTTGCCAAGGGTTGCACTCTGCCATCATACCTTGCTACCCACTGCTTTAGACAGTCTGTTGGAAACAAACACTGTAAAGGTTTGGCCACAGCAACATACTGTACTGTATGTAATTTCAACAAGTGGAAATCACATAGGTACCACTGAAAGTCCTCAGTTCAAACACTCCAGAGGTCAACAGAGTTAAGTCTAACATTGTTTCCGAGTTAACACATCAGGTGTGTTCTGTTGTGCCTTATTCACTCTTTGCAGTTAATAGCCTGCATGTAAATTTGACCTCGCAGCAAAGCGTCTCTGGCTTTTCCCAACCCCTCGCTTCTTTACAAACAGCTCAAGTCAACACCCACACACAGAATTTATATCCCTCTAAAGAAAAACCACAATGTTACAGATCAGATGACAAAGTACATGAATGTATACCCTTACTGAAGCACTTTAGCTACCTATGTAATTGGTGCAGCAAATTATCCTACACAAAAAAATACTGATCTTTAGTCTGTGCATTTTCTGACTTTCCATTTTCCAGTATATAAGTCCTTGTTTAATTAAGGCAACAAAAACCACTGGGTTAAGATCAAAATATATGTAGGATGGAGTCACAATAAACTGCTCTGTGTGTGTTCAAGGTGACAAAGGAACTTTTCACCCAAAGAGTTTGGCCCCCTTACTGTTTTTGCACAACAATGCAGCACTGTGGCACAAATAAGTAAGGCACATCAGGCTTTGATGCACTTGTCAGTAGAACCACTTTATTGGTGGTTGCAGTCTTTTTCATAATGATTTGTTCACGCTAAGACAAATATCAAATATTGCCAGCCACGTCCTTCAAGCTCCTTAAAGGTTAGCATCACAATTTTGTATTTAAACTATAATTTGGGTCCCACAGTGACAGAGCAAGAGGAGTCTGCTGGAGAAAACAGGTTTAATACACAAGAGAGAAATACACTGAGACAAAAGCTGGTAAAATAAACAAGAGCTCCACAGAACAGAAAGCTGGAGAGCAAGCTCTCCAACACAAACCAATTAGTGGCATTTACAGGCAAGTGAGCCTACGTGTGTCAAATGCAGGAGAAAAAGGCTGATTCACCCGATGTCCTAACACAGTTTTATTACTGGAGTTTAGATGCTGTATGCTTGACAAATGGGGTTAGGTGTAATTTAGTCCAATCTGATTAAAAGCTGAACCACACAGATCAGTATGAACACATTACCATGGAGGGCACATATTGCTGATCTAGGAAATTACTGAGATACATGCAAGAGCTGGTATTAACAAGAGGGCAGCATGGACGCAAAATACAAATCCAACTAACAGTTACACTTAAATCTCATGGTCCATCAGCTAATAATCTACAAACATCCAAAGGTCCTCTGCTTTGGTTTAGTTTTCTCAAATATAACGCTGGCTTTGACATGGTGGCTGACCTGCACAGTATCATATGTGATGGTTAAAGATGTCATTTCAAATCTATGGGCATTAATGTGTTGCTTTAACAGCCTCCTCTCATCTGGTTTCAGGCCTCCCATCAGATTTTGGAACCTGGCTGTGGGGATTTGCTCCCATTTAGACATGAGCGTTAGTGAGGTCCCACCCCTGGTGTTGGGCAACTTCACAGTCGGTGTTTCAGTTCATCCCAAAGGTGTTGGAAAAGGTTGAGGTGAGGCCTCTGAAGCAGGCTCGTCAAGTTCTTCCACCCCATAAAGGGGGAAAGCTTTTAACCCATGTTTAGACAGGAAACGGATGCCACAAATATAGAATCAGGCTAAATATCACTGTATGCTGACAAAAAGTTCAGTTCAGTTCGTTAGTCCCTCAGCAAAAAAATACATACCATAATGTAATGTAAAATGTAAATGTTTCTTAAAAATATCCAATATAGTCTGAGCTGTACAGGCAGGACTTAAGTTGAACATGACCATAATAAAATGCTGCTGAGCAGTACAATCAGGAATTATTAAAGCTACAATATGCAACTTACCAGCATGAAGCTCCAAATCACTCCACTTTGCTCGGCACAGCGCTCCCTTTCCCAGCTCCACTCTGCTCTACTACAACCCGCTAGGCCCTGCCACACTCTGGAGAATGCGACAAAACTTCCTGATTGAGCATACATAAATAGATAGAGAGGACAGTCCCGTCAAAACCTTTT